CCATCCGCGATTAGCGCTAATTGTGATCTCGAGACGAAAATATTCTTCTTAATTCTCAAAGGAACTCTGACAAATTTCTGACCGGTTTCTGACAAGTTTTGGGAAGAAATCTAAGAAAAGCTAGAAGTAATTTCTTAGTTGAGAATTTCATAGTTGTGAGTTGAATTCTAAGGAAAGGAGCAAAATTCAAAGGTATTTACGGAATATATTCAGTTAGAATTCTGAGAATAATAATGCAAAATTTTAAGGGGATTTTGAGAAGTTTTCCGAGGATATTCTGGTGATTTTTTTAGATAATTCAAAGGAGAATCCCATAGGAGCAGCATTCCAAAGGAGTTTTGGGATTTCCTAGCAGATCTAAAATTTTATTCCTTGGATAATTTCTTGGGAATTTCAGCAGAACATTAAGTGAATGCTGAGGTGAACTCTATGTGAATGTGTAGGAGAATGTTTTAGGGGCATTGATAGGAACAAAAGCAAGAATTATTAATCCTGATGAATGTGGGCGTCTTAGTGGAATACCTGTATAATGAGAGAGAGAAGGATTAGTATTTTCCATTTAATTCCACTACTTTATTTGCTTATCCTTGACAGTGATGTGTCCTAGGTAGTAACTTGAAAAGCCATGTGTGTCCGTTTCCTTGATCCCTGTTGAGTAAAGTTGAATTACGTTGTTTGTTGATCTCGAGGCTTTCTGCAACATCCAATTTCCATGGTGTAGATACGGTTCGTAAAATCGTTATGTCCTCCGTCGATAGTTGGTGGTCCTCTGTGAATATGTGTTCTGCAACCTTTGATTTGAAATCATATGTTAGGCCCTTTTCTTCTTGCTTTTTGGCCTTATTAACCTCCGCTATATGTTCTTTAAATCTAGTTGCTAAAGTTCTCTTGGTTTGTCCTACATATACTTTGTTACAATGATTACAGCTTATTTTATATACACCTGCTTTACCTAAAACATTAACTGGGTCTTTAATGGATCCTAACAATGATTTCAACTGGTTATGTCTACTGGTGAAAACTAAATCTAATCCGAATTGTTTTAACTGTGGTCTTAGTTTACAAGTAATATCTTGATCAAATGGAACGGACACTCGTTTCAATGGTTCAGGTGCTGTGGTGAGGGTTGTAAATAATCTCCTTTGTAGAATTCTCGCTTTTTTATCGATGATTGCCTGGATTGTGGTCTCATTGTATCCGTTGAGTCTTGCTGTTTCGAAGATGTACTGTAATTCCTTAACCTTTCCTGTATCGCTGAGTGGAAGAGTCTGCATTCGGTGAATCATGTGGTGAAAGGCGGCCATTTTCTGCTGGAACGAATGGTTGGAAGTATAGGGGATAACTCTTTTGGTGCTTGTTGGTTTCCTGTAAATTTCGTATTCAAGCGAGGAAGATGATGACGATTCCCTGATGACTAGAAGATCGAGAAATGCGAGTTTCCCGTTATACGGGAACCCAATCCCATTCTACCCAGGATCAAAGGTCTTCCCAAAGTCCACAAACCAGGAAATGAAATGCGAGAGATCGTGTCTGCAGTTGGTTCCCCCACCCACAAACTAGCGAAGTGGCTAGTCAAAGAGTTCCAGAGTATGCCGAATCAGTTCCAGAGTAAAGCAGTTAGTAACACCCAGGAGTTCACCCAGCAACTACAATCTTCAGGAGACATCAACGAGGACGAGATTATGGTATCTTTCGACGTCACAGCTCTTTTTCCCAGCGTACCGGTCAAGGAAGCAATCAACCATTTGGAGGACTGGCTATTAACACAACGAGAGGATGCAGCATGGAGAAACAAGGTTCGGACGTACCTTAAGCTGACCCGCCTTTGTATGGAAGAGAACTACTTCTCTTTCCGAGGTAACTTCTACAAGCAGACGAAAGGAGCCCCAATGGGAAACCCCCTATCCCCCTTCTTGTGTGAACTTTTCATGGCCAACTTGGAGACAATCCTGAAGGAGAAAGGACTATTACCAAACCGTTGGTGGAGGTTTGTTGACGATATCTTCAGCGTAGTTAAACGGGAAGCCCTTCCACAAATTTTAGATGAGATCAACAGAATTCATAAGGATATCAAATTCACTCACGAGGTAGAAAAAGACGGGAAACTCGCATTTCTCGATCTTCTAGTCATCAGGGAATCGTCATCATCTTCCTCGCTTGAATACGAAATTTACAGGAAACCAACAAGCACCAAAAGAGTTATCCCCTATACTTCCAACCATTCGTTCCAGCAGAAAATGGCCGCCTTTCACCACATGAAGTAATAAGCTTCGCGTATGAAGTAACATAAAAAACACTTTGAATGTAACAACTCAAGGCGGGAGTAGCCGTCAACAATGCTGATGATGGTACAGCACGCAACAACCACCCTACTGCTTTCTCTCTGAGATGATCACGTTGGTCATGACGAGAGGAGCAACACAATAGTTGGGTAAAGAAGAACTGCATTATAACACACCATCGACTGGAAATGCTCTCGCAAACGTGGGGCTTCAGGTAGTGATGAAAACGTCGCTAGAACTATTCCACAGCCGCAGTCAGTTTATGAGCAACAAGAGGGACGCACATTTTTGCCTGTGGACTTGGAGACATACTTCAAGTCCCCGCGTACATCGTACGGGCTAGGCAAAAATGTGCGTCATCTTGAAAAACTGTCGCTTTAATGGCCCTTCGCTCATTTTCAACTTCTATTCAATTTTCATACTGCCGTACTCTAACGGAACTATCCACCTACATTCTTCTAAAGATCATTCTCTAGCTAATAAATCATCACACTAAAGCTTCATGTTAGCATTTCCAACCAACTCTAAAAAATCTGCAGAAAATGAGACGAAAATTTTATTCAGTTTCGGAGTAGTACCAATAGACTGAGTGAATCCAATCTTTACTTTTCTCAAATTCGGGAATTTTTCCCTGAAAAATCCTGGGAAAACATGAGGCAAATTTACTCATCGATGAGCTCCTGCACTTTATTTCTTACTACTGAGATAACTAAACTCAAATTTGGGTCGATCTCATTCGCCGTGATATCACCTTGAAAGATATCGGCGCCGGAGGTTAGCGTGATTACCTCTCACCCCAGCAGACCTGAGTCCAATCTCAGTCGGCGCCACCGGCATGTTCTAAGGCATAACATCTCTGATCACGCCTTCCTTCGAGAAGTAAAGCCGCTGGTCCCCGGTTGAGTTGATGTGTCGATTGGTAGGATCCAGGTGTGGGAGCGGCCTCTCTGGCGTCGGTAGCATTGGAGCTCATTACGGAAACAAATCTCGCGTCAATTTTCAATAAGTCCTATCTACATTGATCGATTCTCTTCATCGACTCTCTCTTTCGTAAATAACTCGGCTTCACAAATGTTTCCTGCCGTCTTCGTCGAATTAGATGCTAGATTGTTGCTTCTTCCATCGACAATATCCGGCCGTGGCGATTCAAAGTTGATCAAGGTTGATCAAAATAATTTGTACCCCTGCTTCCAGTTTGATTACATGAGCATTTTGTGTGATCGTTGGTTCTGAATATGGACAAACAGGCAGATGAATTCTATTCCTACTCTTCACTGTAATAAGCTTGGTGGCCCTGAAAAGAGCCGTTTTGTTGCCAAAGTTGGTGATGATTTAACCTCCGAAACCAAACAAGTGCGTCTCTGTCACTTCAAAACGTAGATGACATCCATGGCCGCTTACGCTTGACGTGTTTAGTGTAGGTGACAGCATCACGGATCTCATTTTTCAGGAACACCTTCAGCACACCTCGTAAATCAGACCGACGTCAGACACCGCCACGGCGAGCCAGACGACGGATGGTGGTTATCTTGAAGAATTTGCGTTTGGTTCTGAATATGGCGAAGAGTGTGCAAAATATTACGCAATTCCATCCTCTCTATTCGCACGCGCCTGAGGATCGGAGGCGAATGCCACTTCGACTTGTTTCGTCTACCTACTACTCTCTGACGACTGTGCTTGGGAAGCAGCATATGCATGTAGGTAATTGGTGGATTTGTTAGCTAATTCGACACTTTTGGACAATGCCGGACATTTACCAGTTTTTCAATAGTTTCTTGTTGAAAATCAACATTCAGAAGCATTGTTATCGATGCGTAGCCATATTTCTGATCGATTGGTGATAAAATTATTGAAATTGGACCAGGGGCAGCTGAGTTATTAACGTTCAAAATCTTTCTTAATTTGTTACATGTTCCATTTTCAGTTTTCACAAAGTGTACCCCATATATAAATCAAAGACGTAGTCCTACGTCAAAAAATGAAAAATCTTATGTTGGGTGACATTGAGCCAAAACAAAAAAAATGGATAAAATTTCTTAAAATATGTAAGAGTAACGTAGCTATTAGAAGTACACTTGGTTATGCTCACAATGTACTTCGTATGTATGCGTGTAACTCTCATCTATCCACATAAAAGTGTGTTCAAACTTTTGTTTGTCTGTGGACATTTTTAAAAACGTGTTTTTTCTACTATTTATGTCACTTAACTTTACAGCACTATTTAAATAAAACAACTGGTTTATGTTATCTACACTTTACAACAAGAGTTCAAGGAACATATTCTAGTTATGGTTTTCTGAATATTCAAGATAGTTGCTTCAATAAACTTTTGTCAATTTTGGCCCAATGTCACCCCGTCTTACGGTTGTTCTAATAATTAGGCAATCACGCAGAGCAGCTTGCAACACGATGATAAAGAGAGTGGTATCTAAAAAGCGTGACGTGTTAGAGAAATGATTTATTTTAGACTTTAATTCAGGAGAGCATAAGAATTTCAAATATGTTATTGAAAGTCGTGTTACACAGTGTTTTTAGTTGTTAATCTAGTTGTGCAAAATAAAATGTTGACGGATACGTACAGACAGGATGTTTAACGAATGAATTAAGCATTTGATCAATTAGAATTAATTGCTTTAATTGCCTTCGGATAAATGAGCTCCATTGCAGAGACTACTTCAAATCTGTAATTATCAAACGTATCTAATTATTAAATAAACTTCAAATCTTCGCATAAATACGCCACTGCTCGATATCCTTCAAATCACCCCCGCCTTCCTTGGCCCATTCTGCATAGCGGCTGTGGAAGAGCACTCCGTCGAATAGTACATCACTACCACCAATTTTCAAACCGACCCAGCCGATGGCATCAGCAATGAATCTATACATATTCTTGTAGAAGAAAACCAACCGAAATGGGCGACTTTCCACCTTGTTTGGAATTTCCAATGCCCTCGAATCGTACGATGTCGACACTACGTCGTGCGCTACCTGCAGCAACAGATCGGCTTCGAACAATTCAATTAGTCCTTTCTCCATGAGAAGGTAAAGCGTGAGGACGGTAGCAACGTACGGCCATCTTACCGATTTCACTCGTTCATAGTCTAAGCTGTCCGATACGATCCAGCTGAGAAGCTTTAGTTTTATGTCCAGGTCGCGCGGAATGTTGGTTTGATCTCCGGAGTGCAGGTCGACAAGAGTTGGTACTTCGATGTGGGTTGGAAATTGAACAGGAAAGCTCTGTTGCACATAATCGGATTCGTGATCAAGTTTGAACACGAAAGGAAAAGCGTAGTATCTGCGCCGTTTCAAACGATGGTACAGGATGATTCCAGCTGAGCGTAGCAGTATTTGGAGGATGAGCTCCGGCAGCTGCTGTCCCAAATCTTTCGGACGTAAGTCGGTAAATCCGAGCAATACCGGATAAGGTTGCTTGTACCAAATTTGATACATGAAAGGATGATTCAAAAGAATGTCAAGGATTGGGTCATTGCTCGGGATGGGATTTGAAGTGATGCCATTCTGAAACAGAATGAAGGCAACTGGTCAATACACGTGTTTGATAATTCCTGTTAGAAACCTACCGTTCTGTAGAAGCCTAAGCTCTGCTGGAAGCGTGTTTTCATTTGCTCGTCGTGCACCCCAAACGCTTGATTTAGAACAAGATGCAGATCTATAGGATACGGTAAGCCAATTGGTTGTTGCCGTACAAATTTTGCCACATTATAGAACTTGCGACTGTACTGGCCCAGACTGGAGTGAAAGGGTAGAAGTTCCTCAAATTTCACAATATCGTTTCCACTGAGAGTCGCAAACAATGGCATCTGCGCAAAGCTCAATTCCAAGTGTTCAACCAACGCCGGACGGTTATATTCCATCGTTTCCAATGTGACGATATCAATATCTCTGGATGACCAATAACGCCAATTTCCTTCATAGATCAAAAAATCCGAGTCGTCTGCAATGATCGCTAACGCATTGTTTTTCCGTGCAAAGGTAGCCAATTCCTGATCACACTCTTTTAAAATCGACACTGATAAGGTGCCGTGTTTTTTAGCGAGATATTCCATTGCATACTCGTTCACAAAGGAGCCAATCTCAGTCGCGATCGTTTCGACATCAGTGCCTTTATCAACTGCATCGTAAATGTCAATCATTTTCTTATAATTCGCATTCCTTCGCTCGCACCAGGTTTTGAGCTTGAAGCTCGGCACTGTGCCATCGACGAAAAACTGCAGCTCCACTCCGAGGGCTTTCAGTTTGGAAAAGAAATGATTTATAATTAAGTATGCCAAATACAATCGCCCTCCAAACAGCCGTGATTCTGCATCCAACCTACTCAAGGGCACATACAAAGACATCACATCAATGACGATGATGGGGGATGGAAGGGGTTTGCCCTCCGTAGCTGCTTTGTAGTACTCCCTGTTAGAATAAACAAATAAATTATCAACATGTTGCTCGAGTGCTGCAGCTGCCGACAGAAATCTATCTTACCGGATTTCATTTTCAATATTCACTTTGAAACAACCGTCCGGAACCGTCTGACGGATGAATGTGTCCAAATGACGAATGCCCATCGTCCACGGCTGCTGACTATAAACAAAATGATTCAGGTCGCACTCAACTGCAGCTGATAGGTATACCGATAGGGATAGGGTTTTTAGAAGTAACGATAACGATATGATAGCGTATCATTGTATGCAGCGGTGCCAGGTCATTTTCAAGAAAATATGTTCCAGTTATAATCTGGGGGGACGTGCTGTCAAATCAGCCTACTGATCATCTTGTATGAAACTGGTTCCAAACGTAAACAAACGCTGTAGGTTTCTTATGGCTTGTTTACGTTTGGAACAAGTTATGCGCTACGAGGTTATGCGAGGTAGGCGACGATTGTTCGTATTTGACAGCCACCTCCCCCCCCTTGGTTATAATATAACAGCGGGTGAAAATGAAATTGAAAAGAATAGTGTTTCTTATAGTTTTTGGACACTGCCGCGAATACATCCATATCGAAGTGACCTGCGTGGAAAATAATAAACTGCTCGTGCAGAAATCGTACGCCGATGCCGCAAAGCAGATGAGCCCCGACCTAGGCGCTTAATACATAGGTGACACAGTAGGAAGAAGTGTTAGTTTGTTTACTAAAATAAACTATGCCCATTTTGTTATGGCTAGGTTTGGTATAAGAAATGCACCTCGTGTTTATTAGCGAAATTCACATCAAAGATTGATTAATTGCGTAGGAAATCAGTTTGGCACAGCATGTGTGACCAGCATACACTTTCCGATTGCATAAAACAGGTCAAAAACTGTCCAAATCCGCCCATACAAATTTTTGTTTTGAATTTCTGTCTGGCTAAATAGTGAACTTTTCGTGAACATTAACGGCAAAGAACTCACCAACGCTGGGAGACCGTGAGTTCCTGCCCACCTGTCATAAAAACATCTCGGTCGCACCCGGTGCGAACCAAACCAACTCACACTCCGCCAATTTGGTCAGCATGCTGCCGCCGAAAAAAAAAAACCCCCAGGGAAAACAACAGAAGTTGTTACCAACACCAGTCCTCACCGATGAACATTTCCCGATGTTAGCCACTACCTCGGCTTCGGTTCAATCATTGGACAGCGGGTCATTGACTCCCTCTACAAGTCGACAGCCCCCTGCTAGCGGCGAAGTGGATCACAAAACTGCAAGTGGCAAGTCCGATGGAAACGAAACAGATTCGTCGGTTGGCTCATCCAGCTCCAGAAGGCACCTTCGCCTCGCGTGGATTACGTATGCGACGACATGCGAGGAGTAACCAACCTTCGTAATAGCTGAGTTCTCCAGCTATAATCTCGCTTCTATCAATAGCAACAACATCACGAACGCAACGAAAATCGACGCACTTTGGAATTAATCATTTTGTTCGACTATTTTCCACAGAGATGGCGCTATTCCGCTGGTAGGAAGTGATAAAAATCCCCTTATAGAAATTGAGAGAAGTGGAAATAATTCGCTTTTGGTGCATATTCAGGTCAAAAATAGTGAACGACAACCTAAAGAATTTAGTCATGGGCTTTGTCGTTTAGTTTTTTTTCCCGGAAATTAGTGCTAAAGAAGCTACAATTAATTAAAAATGATTTTTCTCCATACAATTTTACCTGTTTTACTACCAGTCCCCAGAGAGCTAAAAAAATTCAAATTTGAGAGAGAAATTTTCTCTCACGAGCTTAATCTCTCAACATGCCATGTATTTTGTTGAAACTCGATTTGTGATTTCCCTTTCACAGATTACAAAATAGAGTACTTGAGACTACAAAACATGTCTGGTACCTCTATAAATGCATTTGCTTTAACATTTGAAGTCCCTCCTTTTTTACATATTCTGCGCAAAAGATACTTTATGCCCCGCCCCATACATAAAATTTGGCGGGTAATTCTGTGAGGGGTGAGCTATTTTGTGTGCAGAATGTGTAAAAAAGGAGGGACTTCGAATAATAATCTAAATGCATATATAGAGGTACCAGACATGTTTTGCACTGCATCATTCTCTGCTTGATCGTCAAGCAGTTCAGTTCGGTGTTAGCTCGCTCTCTCGAGTTGTTTGAAAAGTTCATTGCGATAGTGTTCGCGTTCTCTCTTTCGTGGTTTGTCGTGCGTGTGTGTGTGCCCCGTAATGGGGAAGCATCGGTCGCGAAGCCCGGCGAAGGTCCAGAACCCCGGAGAAGGAAGCTCCGGTGTGCCTACCTCGAACAGGTTTGCTGTTCTCCCCATGGATGGGAATATCCAGCCAGCTGTGTTGGAAAAACGCAGTAAGAAGAGGAAGAAGAATCGAGGCCAGTCCGATGTCACTGCGACGAACAACAGCGATGTTGGAGATTTCGGTGACGCTGCCGAAACCGTGAATACTGCCGAAATGAGCACGGCAAAAGTGAAGCTACCTCCATTGGTAGTGAAAAATGCCCATCTTAATGTGCTCATTGCGGATCTAGCGACGCTGGGTGTTAAAGCCGAATACAAGTTGGGCAGAGTCGGCACTAAAGTGATGCTCCGTACCAAAACGGAGTTTGACGTGGTCGTCGCCCACCTGAGGACTTCCAAGGTGGAATTCTTTACCCACGACATTCCCGGTGAGAAGCCGTTCAAGGTCGTCATCAGGGGCCTACCAAACTTCGACCCGAAGTTTATCGAATCAGAAATCAGGGACCGGTACAAGCTGGCCCCAAGCGCCGTGTATTGAATTACAAGAAGAGACGAGAATGTGAAGGCGTATCCGGATAGCCTTTTCCTGGTACACTTCCAGAAGGGAACGGTGACGCTCAACGCACTGAAAGCCATCCGGTCCATCAATTCCATCATCGTTCGCTGGGAGCCATACCGTGGCGGCCATCGCGATGTGACTCAGTGCCAGCGGTGTCTGAACTTCGGACACGGTACCCGCAACTGCAACATTAAGCCACGCTGCGGAAATTGCGCTCAAGACCATGCCACCTCCGAATGTGCTGCGGATGAAGCTGTGGCGTCCAAATGCGCCAACTGTGGTGGTGCTCACCAAGGATCCAACAAGCAGTGCCCTAAACGCGAGGATTTCAAGCGCATCCGAAAACAAGCGTCCACCAACAATCAACCAGCACGAAGGAAGGATAAGGCCCCGGCTTTCAGGACAGAGGAATTTTCACCTCTTCGTGGACAAGCGAATCCCAGGGTGCGATCCGCGCCCCCTCAAGAAACGTCTGGATCTTCTGCTGGACAAAGCTCTCCATCCCCCCCTGGATTCTGGAGGCAACCAATAGCTCAAACAAACAATCCCGATCTGTTCTCAGCAGACGAACTGATGGAGATTTTTATCAACATGACCGGTGCTCTACGTAAGTGCCGCAATAAGCCCGAACAGATCCAAGTGCCCGGTAAGTTCATCATCCAATATGGTGTCTAAACCGCTAACCATCGCTACCTGGAACGCTTGCTCTGTAAGAGCTAAACAGATTGAGCTTGCCGACTTCCTCCGCAAGCATAGCATCGACGTGGGTCTTCTAACCGAAACCCACCTAAAGTTCGGTGACAGCTTCTGGTTGCCTGACCACAACATTATCCGGCTTGATCGCACCAGCTCCAGGGGGGGTGGTGTAGCGGTCATCGTCAGAAAGGGAATCAAGTTTTGCACTCTGCCCCACATCCGCACTTCTATCATCGAGGCCATTAGTGTGGAGGTGGAATCACCAACTGGAAACGTCCGGTTCATCGCTGTTTACTGCCCACGCCAGTGTACCGCAAGCAACGGATTAGGAATCCAATTCAAGAAGGACCTGACCGCCATCACCCGTACTAGCTCCCGATTCATCGTTGGGGGCGACCTGAACGCCCGCCATGAAGCTTGGCGGAACTACCAGAGGAATCGAAACGGATGTCTATTGTTCGACCACGCACAACATGGACTGTACACAGTGCAATTTCCGGACGAGCCAACTTTCATCTCTCCGGCGGGAAATCCCTCCACGCTGGACTTTTTCCTGTCAAACATCGGACTATCCAAGCCGGAGGCGCACAACGATCTCAGCTCCGACCACCAACCGGTGGTGACTGAAGTCGGTGTCAACGTGGTTCCTGCTAGAGGCTGCCTGCGTAAAGACTACCACCATGTCAACTGGGTGCAGTACGGTCGAATGGTGGACAGCAACATCGATGAAAATCCACTACTCGACACCGTAGATGACATCGACCGGGCGTTGGAAGGACTCCAACAGGCCATATCCGAGGCTGACGAGACATGCGTTCGACAAGTTCCTGTGAGGGGTAAGTTTGTTGCTATTGATTCCCACACCCAATTATTGATTCGATTGAGTAATGTGCGTAGACGCCAGTTTCAGAGGACTGGAGACCTGGGCAAAAAACGTGAAATGGCCGATCTGAACAGGCAGATTGCTTCCAGAATGGACTCACTCCGAAATGAAAGTTTCGGGCGTGTTGTCCAGAATCTGGACGACCGCTCCAGACCATTCTGGAAGGTAGCCAAGGTCCTGAAAAATCATCCCAAACCCGTTCCACCTCTCAAAGTCGAAAATGATGACGATCGGCTTTTAATTACCCCACAGGAGAAAGCAAATGCGATCGGCGAGCATGTCGCTTCATCGCATTTGCTTGGCTCGACTATCCAAAGTCCGCTCGATGATCAGGTTGCGCAATGCGTTCAAAACCTAGATGCCTCCCCTTGTGTCGTGCCTCCGGCGGATATGATTACAGTACAACAAATTTGCTCAGCGCTGAAATGCACCAAGAACATGAAGGCTCCCGGGTTTGACGGTATATTCAACTTGATCTTGAAGAGACTCAGCATGAAAGTGCAGTCTCTTCTAACCGCTATCTTCAACAGATGCTTGGAACTGCACTACTTTCCAAGCATCTGGAAAGTAGCAAAAATCATACCAATCCACAAGCCCGGTAAGGATCCAACATTGCCTTCAAGCTACAGACCAATCAGCCTCCTTTCAGCGCTGAGCAAATTGTTCGAGAAACTCATTCTCAATCGTTTGCTCAATTTTGTCGAGGAAAATAACATTCTCCTTCCGGAACAGTTTGGATTCAGAAAGGGGCACTCCACCAATCATCAGCTAGTACGGGTGATGAATAACATCCGAAGTAACAAAGCTGTATCCAAGTCCACAGCCATGGCCTTGTTAGACGTTGAAAAGGC